AGAGAGAGACAGAGAGAGACAGAGAGAGACAGAGAGAGACAGAGAGAGACAGAGGAGAGAGAGATTTAAACGGGGAAATATTTTAAAAGTCTGACATTGAACTGCATCTGAGTACAGGAGAGAAGCTGTTTGTAGTAATGAAGGATGGATAACATGAAGATGAAGGCATTCTAAGTTGGCAGCAATACAAGTGGAAGGAAAGAGACAGATTTATGTGTATAGCTACAAAGTTTGCAAACAATAGTAGCTAAATTGGTATTTTCTTGCATACACAAATCTCTCAGCCTCACAGAAGATTTAACTATCCCAGTATGTTAAATAACACTTTATATTTGTATATGTCCCATAACCATTTTTGTCAACTTCTGAAGCTTGTTGTGTTTGCTAAAAGCATTTGCAAGTCAAATTGTAACACTTTTCCTTCCAGAAATTTAAAAATTTATTCAACTTTTAGAATTGGTAATGTAATTTACACAAAATAATTGGAATATCCATTATAACTTGCAAAAATTGATAAAAAGTTTGACTATTATTCCATTTCTATTCAGACTTCGAGGATTAAAATGCCATATTTTAAAATGGAAATTCTGGTAAGTTTATTGCCTTATTATTGTATTTTTGATGGAATGCCACATTAGCCAGGCCCCTCAGGAATCAGCCTACTTCTGTGCAAGGTAGATAGTTACGTTAATAGCTCTGTAGGAAATTTCACTTTTAGAAGACTCTATCGATTCCATGTTTATGTATCAACAAAAGTGTGAGCTGAGGCATTTAGAGTCTTTATACAGCCTAATTTCAGTCATAGCTGCCTTTATATAATAAGATTATTTTAGTACCTTGGCTCTAGGAAGCAGAGTTCAGCCCTATTCCTAAAAATTTGCTGTACAAAAGTATACTAGGTTTTGTATAATTCAGGGAAGATTTGGGTGGTCCTGGGATGAGAGACCCTATCTTCCAACATAAAAACAGTCCCTTCTCTTCTTTGCCTCTCTAACACCAGGCTGTTTTTCTCTTCCTTATCTATAGATTCCCGAACTTTACCTTCTGTTTTGTATTATAGTATCTCCCATTAACAACTAGAGCCAACCTGTGGGCCCAAGCAAGTCTGGAGGAGATCAAACAAGTCATGGTCCTCAACAAATGGGGTCCTGTAAGTGAAGAAGTTTCAATTCTCTGGTGAAAATACTATTTCCTTCCTTCTTTGTTTCCCTTCATTCTGTTCTGGGGCAATCTGCGCCCCTACAGTTGTCTTCAACACCCAGAACTAGGCTGGCCCAATTTGGTTGGGCATTATTTACTCAAGTTAAGGCAGCCAAGCAACCATCGCAGTTACTTCATGGGGAACACAGGTGAGAACCGAGCATGGAGTGTAAAGAAGGAGACAAAAAAAGGACTTAGCCACCCATGTGGTTTACTGAGAAGGCAAGAAGGACAACCAGCCCACCTGGGGAGCATCTCTATCCTCTGACATTGTCATTATTTATTCCCACCCTCATCAGAAGTATGATATTTTTAAATACTTGTTTGTAAGACCATACGTGATACAGCCTCTATGTTTTCCCACTGGGGGCTTGTCCTCTTATGAAGCTATTCCTCCTGGAACTCCTGTTTGCACATAGTGGGTACAAAGGGTGGGCCAAGGCCTGGCTTCTAGAAACAGATCTGGAGACCAGTGTCTCTCTCTGTCCTACCCTTGGTTGGGGCATAAAGCATTAAGTCTGGGTAAGTATTTCTCCTCCACAAGCCAAAAATTAATCTCTAAGTTGGGTCACATCAATCTGTCTTGAGGAAATGTTAAAAAAACTAGCACAGCTATATATTTAAGACACTCTTAAGCTTCCACTTTAATTATATAGTAGTTTATCTCTATCAGACTCTTTATCTATTTTCAAAATTCTTTTTGAAACATAAGAGAAATACATATGATTATTACCCTTTAAATCACAATTTTTAGTTTTGTCATAGTTAACTTTGAGGAAAGAAGTGATGTAAAGTTACCTGAATGAGTTTAACACTGGTGTGAAAAACACTTGGGTTCCTTGTTTTCTCCTTCCCTTTTCTCTCCTTCCTTTTCTTCATTGTCAACCTTTTGTTTCTCTTTTATTTCTTTCCTTTTCATGTTTTCTTTAATTCCAAGGTTACAGAGGGTTGCACAGGTTAACAGCTGAGTGCTAACACCCACCGGAATGGTGCCTCAGTCGCTCTCTGATCACTGGAAGGCTATGTCCAGGCCTATGTCTGTGATTTTGTCCTGGGGCAGCCAGCTGGCATCTCTGTGTAGGAGGAAAAAGTCTTCCCTTTGGCACTGCCTCCTGCCTTTAACAATGCTCAGAAGAAAAGTATCAAGTCATTTATTTATTAAGAGCTATATGTTCCCACAGTCAGATCTCTAATCAGGACTTTGTTAGCATTAACTACCTTAGGAGTTACACAGAAAGACACATGACTTTTTTACACAGAGGACCAGTGCTCTTGTGATGACAGGGACAAATGATGGCCTCTCTTTTCTGGTAAAGTTTCACTCAGTTTGCCTGCTCTCATTCACTTGCTCCCCAGCTAACTGTCAATAAAACTTCCAGTCTGGGTGATTAACCACACTGAACCATGGTGCTAACTCCCTCATCAGCTGGTAGTTCAGAAGCCAAGGTACGAATGCAGACATTAACATTTCCAAAAACATCAGAATGATATGTGTTAAAAATAATTTTCAGGAAGCTCAAAGACAAATTTGATGTTCAGTTTAGAAGCTATCTTTAGCCTATAAATTATTTCTTGACCTAACATAGCCCATAGTCACTTTCATTTGTCCTTGCTTGAATAGATTTAGCATTTCTATGCCTTTTATGAGCCACCTTAAATAGTTTTGGAGGAAAGAGTGGTTATAAATAACAAGTTCAGTTTACCTATAACAGAATACTTCAAGAGTTACAATATAATAATTGTATTTTTCACATGGAATGAATACGGAACAGCACATGAGCAGGGAAAAAATGATAATGAAGATGAAAGGTGGTTTTGCAGCTCAAATCTATTTTAAGGATACAGAGATGAACAGCTTAATCCTCTGAACCTATAAAGAGCAGCACACCAAGGTCATCCTTTTAGCTGCTTGTGACAATGCTTTCACAATCTCTAGCAAGTGGCCTGGAGCAGGATCTGTGTTCAGTGACTCATCTCAGAGGTAGCCCTTCCATTAGCTCCCCAACTGTAATACTGAAACCTCCATTTAATTCTGACTCATATTGTTAAATGCCGCACACTGAATCACCAATCCTACTACATAAAGCACCCGACTCGCAGGTCTCTCTCGATTTCTCCACTTGGGCAGGAAAGACACCGGAAATTGTGGCTATAGACAGAGGCCATGGGAATCACATGTAAGTTCAAGTTCTCTGGCTTTCTGGACACTAACTAAAGTTCAGATAGTCGATAGATTTTATTCTCATATGGTGTTTTATCATCCTAATCATTCCTTTATTAAATATAATAAAAATTCTTAGGAGTCACATTTCTAATACTTTTGCTTTAAAAACATTTCTCTTTAGCTTTGTGTTGTCTTCCAAAGGTATGGTCTAAATATGAGGGGAAAAATTATGCCACAAGGGCCTCTAAATGAAATGCCTTCTCTGTCAGTCCAGATGTTCATTTCCATGTACGCATCACATAATTCTAAACTGATGAGACTGGTAATGGTCCAGCTCAATATGTCTTAGTTGGTTAACTCTGAAAGAAGAAAAATAAAAAGGTATTCTTTTTAGAAGTTATGAATTTTAACAACTTAAGACAGAAAAAAAGACTTTCTGAATTTTATTACTTTGATTTTGTGGACAATACAGTTGACTTCCCATGTGGGTCTTCTTACTATGTAACAGAAAAATGTATCCCTGCTATCAGATTCTGGTCCTAAAATTTGTTCTGCAATGAGTAGATATCTATAAAACAACAAAAACTTGACAAATTCTAAAAAAAATGACTAGCATTCTATTGCATTTTTTTCTAAAGACTTCACTAGATAGCTATTCTGTACACTTGCATTAGTTCACACACTTCCCAAGTGTGGGCAGATGGGATGGCCTTCATATCTTCTCCTCTGAAAGTACATAAAAGTATCCAAATGCCATGTGCTATTGTTTCACTTGCTGTTTGGCGTATTTTGAGAGAACAGAATGACTTTAAGTTTGGTCCCATGTAAGCACAACACAGCACCCTTGCTACTGGACTATGTACAAAATCATTTTTTCAATGAATGAATATGAATAAGAACCCTTTGAGTTAAATTCTAGAAGGGGCACATGCTCCGAATGCTCCATAGTACAGCTGGTCTTGCTATAGTTTTCATTCTAGGAAAAGAGAAGCACACAACACATTTATCCATCCCTACAGAGGGAACCATGAAAACATACAAGTGCGCTTAGACCAATCTTAGTTCCTAGCCTTCTGAATGGTGTGTGGTCAAGGGAGGTGTGCTATTGCAGTGCTGATGTTCCACTCAGATGTATCCTCAAATTATAGCGTTTCCTACAGGTGTGCACATGCAGCTGCTTAAATCATTACCGTAGCAGGAACCAGAGTTGACACCTTCTCTGTTCCACAGTACCCGACGGGTTGGGAAGCTAACAGCACATCCCAAGAGGATGCCTTCAGGGATCCTACCTTACACATCATCAACAGCACATGCTCATTTCTTTTTACCTTAGGCCTGATCCTAAACTCAGCCCACATTTCCAGTGCTTTAGGATATCAGCAACATCCTGGCCTTGTATTCTCCTTGCTGCTGCTGCTGTTGCTGTTATTCTTTCTCAGCAGTCTTGCCCTTTGGACATAAAAAGGAATAGCATCTATTAGAGGAAAAAACAAGTCTCCTAAGACTATTTTCTTGGAGTTGGGGAGGAGACAAAAAGATGGCTTGACACTGAGAAAATGAGGAACATTAACATATGGGTTCCTAATAAGTCATGTATTATGTTCCTGCCCTTGGCCATGCCAAGTGCATATTTCAGAAGATCTATTCTTAGAGATTTGTGTGTATACCTCTCACCAGTCTGCCATGAACCCAAATGCAAGGACAAATCAAAAATAGATTTATTTTCCTATTTTTCTGCAGTTGTAAATACAGTACCTTAAACACAGTTCAATATTGGTCACCAACAGCTTGGTCAATGGAACTAGAAACAAAAGATTATTTTTAGTGCACAAGAAGGGCTCATAGCTCTCTTGGCTCAAGGAGAGACATCATACTCAGCATTTGTAACAGTAAAGATTATTTTTCTCAAAGTGCATTTATTACTGTAAGTTGATTTAGTTCAAGGAGTGAGCCAAATAAAAAGGACATTTCATCGTTTCTTAAACTGCCAAATTAGCACCATCATTTAAAATTTTAAATAAGAGTTTCAAAGATTTCCTGGAACCACTGAAAAAATACCTTTAAAGGCTAGAATAAGTAAACTATCTTGCAGTATTAAAACAAAGTATGTTGTTATTATCTGGCACACTGGCATTGCTCTGGGTTAACCTGTAAGTCTTTGGAAAATTTCAAAGGGAACTATTCAAAGATGAGATGAACCAAGAGCTGAGAAAGCCAACTATAGCCTAGGGATTCTGCAACTTGCAAGCACAGTACTGAATGTCATAGACTTAGTATTCTTTCTAGAAGACTATTACACATCCTGGAGTGTAGGCCTTCTCTCCCAGAACTACAGCCCATTGACCACCACCTTTGTTCTTAATCCAGGCACCATTTGGTCTGGGAACAGATCTGATGGCAACAGGACTTCTCTTTGTCTGACTGTGGTCTCCTCAGCACCCCATTTCAAGCCCTCCTGACCCTCAATTTAATCTTTTTTTATATATACTGGGGATTAAATTTGGGACCTTGTGTTTATCAAGCAGACATTTGAGCTACTGAGCTATCTCCCCAGCCCCAACCCTCAATTTAGTAGAAGAGATGAATGACCTCCACATTTTCATTTTAACACATTTCTCTACATGTCCAGTGAATGACATTTTGAATGTTTTAAAGCCTACAAGTTGCATTTTCTAAATATTCATCTCACTTGTACTCATGTGCACCATGCACATGTGTGCTTGTGTGCATTACCAATATTCATTTTTAAATAGTCCCATGAAGTAATAAAGCCTGGATCCAAATTTTCAAATAATTAAATTTTCTATCATCTTGGTGGTCACTTTTATCTTCCTACATTAAATCACATCTTCCTATTTCAAAGGTGGTATCCTGTTTACTATATTGCACAGGATGTTGCTGGAGTATTTAGAGCCAACATATCATAAATAAGCCAATGACTCAATGTTCTTATGAGGATTCTTGGAGAAATTATTTTGTCTCTTCTCCCTAAACTGACCAACTTCATCCTCCCTGGTCTAGAGATCTGTACACATACTGCCAGGGGCAAATCTATTTGCAATCTGGCTTTATAAATGTTTAATAAAGAGTTTGAGAGGAGAATGACCAGCATTCAATCTGGTAAACTGCTGGAGATGTACCAAACATTGTGAACAAACTACACAACAGGTCCATTATACTCTCAGGGTTCAATAGAGGGCCAAAGGATTGCAGCTGATCCTACACTCTGAGTAGACCAGCTCTGATAGGAATACACCAGACAAGAGTAAATGAATGTAAATTCTATAAGCAAATAAAGCTACTTCCTTACACAAATCAGTCAGACTAGCTAAAAACAAGATAAATAATTCTGGTACATTTGCAATAAGGTATATCTTTAAGCTAAAGTGTTCTAATATCTGTCTTTAATTGCGATCTCTCACTAAGTAAAAATCAAGCCAGAAGAAATGCAGCAAATACAGCTAGGTCCATGTGGAACTGACAATCATTTAGCCCCTCAATGTTTCACAAAATTAATTTTAATATCATCTTAAAAGTCAAACACTTGAGCAAACACAAATCAGACTGGCCCAGTGTGTTCTGTCACACTATGAAAAATATTTTTTTATTTTTTTTTTGAGAATGGAAAAATGTCATAATTTCTATAAATCACTGATAGTTCTTAAATGACTACATCAATGTCCTTTAGAGAAAACAAATTAAAGTGGCATAGGAAAGGTAGAATACACCAGTACTATTTTTGTCTTTTTAAAGCTTTCTATTCTGTTTTCCTTCCCAGAGACAGTTTAAACTTGAAATAAATAGGATCAAATTTTGTTTCTCAGGAATAAAGTATTTTTATAGCAAATCAAAACCTTTCTTAACATACAAGTAATAGCAGAGATACAATATGGAGGAGTATCATTCTTAATGACTTTAAATATAAATTGTCTAAAAATTTACTAACAAGAAACTAAAACAACCTACATAATTGTGTTTTAATTTCATTAGATTTATTGGTACAAGTTACATATGCACATTGACCATTAGGGTTCAAGTTTCTTAAATGGACATCTTTATACTGGTGAAAGTCTTTACTTCTCTTAGGCATTTCTATTATCCTGCTTCTCTTTTCTCACCCAGCCCTAAACTGAAGAAAAAAGTAATCTACCGGAGGTGACAAGTGTCTGTTTTCTCCATGCCTCTGGTGCTGTTTTGTTTTTGTTTTGAGCAGTCTTGCCCTTCAGATATAAAAAGGAGGAACCTCTAGGAGCAGAATCTCCTAAAGCAATTTTCTTGGAGAAGAAAACAACACAAAAAGCTTGACAATGAGAAAATAAGGAACTCATTGAAAGTTCTTGATTGTTTTCAAGTTCACATGCCAAGAATAATTTGGTTCCTTTTTTTTATCCCTGCCCTCAATGTCACCCATGTTCACACACTCACAGATGTGCATGTACACACACAGCAAATGCACCATAAATGAACACATGTGGGCATGCACTATTTCAGGTAAAAGTTTAAGAAATCTGCCTCAGGCATATGATACATTTATATAACCTTGTTTAAAATGCATAGATTACATATTCCTAGAGCACCATGACTTTCTGCTCTGCTGATATAAGCTAAGTCAGAGCACCCTTAGCAAACAATTTATTAGTATTCTGTGAAAATTGCTGATTTTTCAACATTAGTAATTGAGTAAACTCATTTTATACAATACTATTCTGGGAGAGTGTATAACTTCCATAATTGTATAAACTCATTTTATACAATACTACAATAGGAGAGTGAAGGAGTGGCAATCCCTTAACTAAGACAGTCTGTGTGGCTACTGGAACACAACTGTACCTATTTTAAGATTAAATGATCTGGGTTATGGATGGAAATAATCTCACCTTTAAGGAATGATTACAGTTCTATTTTTGGTTGTTGTTCCAAAGGGTAGCAACAAACCTTCTTTAGAGCTTATGATTTTCGAAAGCAAAGCTGGTGGATAAGTATAGTTTATATCGTCAGAAAAATACATAGATT